TTAGGGTTTAGGGTTTAAGGTATACATATGTATTGAAGGTCTATCTACACACATACATATGCAAATGAAGTGCGGGTAACTGGGGAAATAAATGTATGTATGCATGTATGCATGTATGCAAAGAAGAATGCTACGTGCAGGAAGGGAAGCTGCCAGAAAGGAGATCGGCATAAGGCAAGCCAAACCTCCGATCACGAACATCTGGAGGTGTTCATCTTGCCTTCGTTGTCATAGAAAGTGGGGTTTAGGGTTTAGGGTTAGTTGTCATACTGTTGATGATATAAACCCTGCATTACATTTAGGATCCTAAACTATGGGAATTATGGTATACTCCTTATTATGGGTAGTGCAGGATTTATATCATCAACCGTAGAAAGAGAGCCGAAGCGTCGTGAAAGGTACCTCCAAAGGGCCCTAAGGAACCATTATAGGGAATTGCAACAAATCCAACAGTGCCACCTGGCTGCCCATCGCAGTGCACTGAAGGATAACCTTGAACGGTAAACCTCCCATTGGGGTGCTCTTTGCACCTGAAAGGAGCCAGCAGCATGCTGAAGAGAATGATGAACAATAGCAGGAAGAGGCTTCCAATCGTTCGCAGGAGATGCCTCAGGGACGCGTTTCAAGGCGATTTTGGATCTTCTTAGGACCTCCCTATTCTACCGGACATCTGGTTACTTGCTTTTGTCCAGAGGGACAAGGGAGGAAAAGCCGGTCCAAAATCTAGGAGGCCTGAAGAAGTCGACTGAGGCATTGATAGAGCCTTATACTACCGACAGGGCTTAAGGTTTAGGTTTAGGGTTTAGGGCTTAAGGTTTTAGGTTTAGGGTCTATCGTGAACAGAAGAAAGTTGGAACCATTGGTTTAGGATGATTAGTGCTAGGATCCAGTATACTTTACCTTAAGGGCACGAGGATTGCACTGTTCCAACTTTATGGCTACTACTATATACATCTACTATTCATCCTCTGGGGAACCCGAAGGAACACTGCTAGACATGAGTCAGACCCCTCGCTTTGAAAGCCGGGATGCCTAGGCGTCGGAGCTGGTTGAAGTCCGAAATTCCTAAATTACTGGCTGACTAACAACACCTAACCCTCCAGGTACCTACTATATAGGGCCCGAGGGACTCTAGTACTCTCGTAGGCACCTGGAGGGTTTGGGAACACCTAAAAGCATGGTACGGACCTCTTTGGTGTCGAGATGCGCGGCTTCTGGGGGTTACTGATTACAAGTATAGTATACTGGGTCCCAAGACCCTATTCTAATCATTAAGGCCCCTACATTACCCCATAATTTATACTATGCATTGTGAATTGCTGTGAGCATATGCCGCAGAACTTTATTAACGTCCTGAATAGACCCTTGTGAGCAACAAAAACCTTAATGACCAACATCATCCAACACCCATTCCACCGCAAAGCAACCTATACAGCAGCTAAAGCATCCTTGCAATACCGCTGCTAAGCCGACAGAGGCTAAACGCCAAGCCGATGAACAAACATGCCTAGGGTCTAACCTATAAAGAACACACGCACGCACACCAGCCGCCAAACCTTCGTCGCAAGAACCCTTAGATGTCGGTTGAGAGCGCGAGCTCAGGGTTTACAGGGCCTTAAAGTACTGTTAAAGTAGGACCTTTAATGGCAAGAACACCTCTCTCTCTCTCTATATATATACATGAATGGAGCTCTCAATGCTAGGCAGCACCATGACTCCTTCAACTACACACCAGACCAAAAACCCACCTCGAAAGACCTGCTGTTGATGATATAAATCCTGCATTGCCTTAAGTAAGGACCCTTTACTATGGGAATTATGGTCTATTCCTTCTTATGGGTAATGCAGGATGTATATATCATCATCCGTGCCACAAAGAACGCCCCACAATGAAGCAAGGGACGGGCCTTGACAACCTGTTCAGCCTAATCTAGGGGCCTTCATAACTAAAATAGCGTCCGAGACCCCCAAAAGGATCTAAAAAAATAGATCCCCTAATTAGGGACCCTAACTACTTAAGGGTACTTTATAGGAACCCCCTTAGGGGATCTATTTTTTAGATCCTTTTGGGGGTCTGGGGTTTTGGGGTCCCTTTATCGTATCATGAAAATAAAAAGGAACCCCCAAGATAGTGTTAGGAATTTATATGGGCTTCTATATTAAACCTACACCGCAAGCCTAACCAAAACCCCTGATACCCCCTAACCCCTCTAAGACAGCCCTAGAGAACCCCTTTGAGGAAGACTCACCCTCTAAACCCTTGACCCCGACGTTTTAAACTAAGCCCTCCGAAACCTGTAGAAAATTGGCCTGTAGAATTTGTAAGCCCTTCTTAAACTCTTAGCCCCTAAACCCTA